AAGGCCAAGCAATGACTAGTGTGCTTTGTTTTTTAACATCATGCTGCCAAGATGAACAAAATTTAGTCTATTTTTAATTTGTGTTTAACTATTTTATATTTAACTGCTTTTAAACTGTATTTAGAAGTTTTTTAACTGTAGGAACGTGACTTGACTTGTTTCTACTGGATTTACTTTCGCTTGTGTTGTCCTTGGGTGTGTCCTGTCTGGCTTTGCAGCATTTTTGATACCCAGAGAAACAGTGAAATAGTGACCTTCTCAGGTTGGAAGGTGGAAGTTGGGTAATCCTGCTGGGAAATGTTTAAACAATGTGTGATGACAGTTGTGATTTATGTTACTTTTAGCTCTTGTTTATCTTCAGTAATGAGTAGTAAGGATCTCGTCTCGTAAAATAAAACAAGTCTCTCTTCCATTCTGGTAAGCCAGTAGTTGAGAGTTTTGGCATGCATTTAATAGATGTTCTCTCTGTAAATGAGAGACACCCAAGGAGGTCACTCAGGACCTGTCTGATACAAAACAATGTTTAAGGCAGCATAAAGAAAATTAAGAACATGCTTTTAGGCCTTTCCTGCATTTCACAAAGAATCACACAAGTCCAATTGTAATAAAAATTTTGAGTGGATTATTCTTCATGTGTTTTGCTGCTGCAGACTTATTTTAGAAGCACCCATGGCTTCTCAGTGTTGGATGTGGGTTTAAATTGACTTGGATCAAGTGGCACTTCCTTTTTTTTCCCATCTAATTTTTAGGTAGTGTAGTCCCATCAGTAAACTATACCCTTTGTGATACATGATTCTCAGGTACTGCTTTGGTAATTTTTTTTTTCTTTTCTGTAATAACAGTTCATATTTGAGGAATTAACTTAAGACACCATTGTAGCAAAGCTCAGTTTTATAGTTTAGCATTTAAGCAATCAAAAAGACATTAAGCCTGATAGTGCAGATCCAAAAGAGTATTGAAAGAAGGAAAGAAGGCTGTGGCTGTTATAGGGAGCAACCTGCACCATGCATTTCAAAACCCTGGTGGTTTTATTTATTGGTTTGGTTTCAAAAGTCCCCAGTAGTTTTTGCAGAAGTTCTACTTGTCCCATGAGCAGATGTAAAGCCCCATGCTGCAGAGCGCAAACAGGACAGAGCCATGAAACTTACACAAATTGCACAAATTTCAGTGTCTTTTGTAATAAGTTCATGTTTGCAAACCTTGGGTCTTGCAAAGCCGAGCTAAGACTTTAGATAAATTCTCCAGTATTTTGGAAGTCTTGTTCATGACCTCACCTAAGTACAGCAAAGGCCGTTCTTGTTGTAAGATAAATACTAAGGAGCGATACTTAAATGCTTTGTATTCATTGCTAATTAAAAATGAAAGCCAAAAATGGGAAACTACATGTATTTTTGCATTTATGTGTAGTTGTTCTACTCTGTCCACATGGACGTGGCAAACCTCTTTCTTTACTTCTTTCCCTTTCCTGGCTGTCTATTATGTATAGACAGATATACCTGTCCTTAGCACATTTTTTCTTGTCTAAGCCGTCCCAGTTCTGCAGTCTCTTCAGGTCACATTTTCTTCACTTCTGATCATGGTTGTTGCTGTGGTTGAGGTTCTCCAGTTGGTCTCCATCTTCACTGAGCTATGGCTACCTGAACCCAACGCAGTCCTTAGCTGAGGCTTTTCTGGTGCTGATTAGCACAAAGGCTTCGTGTGTCTTGCAGACACTATGATGTGCATCCTAGTGTGGTGGTTGCCTTTGCACCACAGCAGGACACTTCTGCCCTCCCACTCTCGTCTCCCACTGCACTGCCTTGCTCTGGGCCTGGGCTAGGGATGTTGGCAGTGTTAGTCCCTGGGCCAGAAGGCAGGAGATGGTGGATTTTGGAGACTAAATCCCCTCTGTAGCTATGGGAGGCAAATCCTGGCATGCAGAGCGCAGCCCACCTCGGTGGCATGGATGGGGAGAGGGTGAAATTGCCACCCGTCCACCTGGAGGGATGTCTGCAGTGAACGTCTGCTGTGAGGTTTGCAGCCATCTCTGTGTGTATGTAAGGAGGACCTTGTGAAGATACATATTAAGCCAATTATACCTTTGCTAAGGCAAATTACAAAGCTTTGGCATTTTTTTTCTGAATAAGAAAGAAAAAGGGCGGGATGTTTTTGGCATGTATTTATTACATGACTACTGGAAAACTGCCAGGAGGTAGAAAATACTGAGGTGCTCATGTTTAACTGTAAATGCACAACAGCCCTTATCTCACCTGACATTGGCTGTATGGGCTCAGTGGGAGTTAGTATGGAGACTGCCAGTGCTAAGACCTTGCCTTCAGAGGTACTACTGAGCAATTTGGTACAAGGCAAGACAAGAGAAAGTAGCTTTAAAACAGGTATGTTTTACATAACAAACACAACAAACAAAGTAATTTCATAGCAGGACTAGCTGAAGTGTCAGCAAGGTGCCTTCCAGCTAATGGAGCCTGTGGGCCGGTGAGCCACGGGACAGGGACATCCCTCCGTGCTGGTCCCAGGAACTAGTGGCATGAGGCGTCTGCAGAGGTGATTGTTCAGAGTCATTCTGCAGGACTAATGGGTTGATCTAAGAGCTGAATAGTCATCAGCATTTGTTACTTCTGGGTGATTTGTGCAGCCTGTATTTAAAAAAATTAAGTGAATCACCTGAGTTTCCAAGCATATGCTGTCAGACAGCCACTCCTCCAGGGTGGCAGCGAGGCAGACACCTCCCAGCCTACCTTCCCATACAAACTGCTCACAGCACCACATGGGCTGTGGTGATGGCAAGCAAGGTCTTTCCAAATCGAGGTGACCTGCTAGGACAAGTCTGTCATTACAAGACACGTTCAAGAGCAAGCCAGGAAAGAAAATCAGGATCGGGAGATTACAAAGCCAGGCACAGGGCTGACTTCCAGTGCAGCTGAGGTGAGGACCCAGGGCAAGGTTGTGAGCTTAAATGCAGCTCCTGAGCCAGCAGGCAAAAGGTGCATGGGAGGGCAGAACAGATGAGGCTCGCCATGTTGCAGTATCAGAGCTGACCTTCAATGCAGGCAGCCAGACCCTTGGGAGAGAGGGAGAAGGGGCTGCAGAGCCCATCAGTGCAGTCAGGGCCCCAGACAGCATGGTCACCTGAAAGGTGACTCTTCTCCAGGCTGAGCAGACCCAGCTCCCTCAGCCTCTCCTTGTGTGTCCTGTGCTCCCACCCTTGACCAGCTTGGTGGCCTCTTCTGGACTCACTGCAGCATGTCGTGTCTCTCTTGTATCAGGGAACCCCAAACTGCATACAGTGCTCCAGGTGTGGTCTCACAAGCATGAAAGAGAGGTAAATGATAGTTCCCCTTCCTGCTGACTAGAATTTTACTAATGCAGCTCAGGGTGCTCTTAGTCTACATCTCTGTGAGGGCCCATGGTGTCCACCAGGACCTCCAGGTACCTTTTTGCACAGCTTACTTTCTAGACAGTTGCCTCCCAGCCTGTACTGGTGCATGGGGTTATTCTGTCCCAGGTATAGGGCTTTGCCTTTGTCTTAATTGATCACCATGGGGTTACCATCAGCCCATTTCTCCAACCTCTCCAGGACCTGCTGTTTGGTATCATCTGTGAACTTGCTCTCTGCAAGCGCTCTCTGTCCCTAGTCTGAATTGCTGCTGAAGACACAAAGCAGTAAAGGCTGCAGGATCTGTCCCTGGGGGATGCCACTAGCAACTGGCCACCAGCTGGACCCTGTGACACTGACCATCATACTTTGAGCCTGGCAACTTTCTAGCCAATTTTCTACCCACCTACCCAGTCCATGTCTCACCAGTCTGCTATAAGGATACTACACCAGGCTGGGACAAAGGCCTTGGCAGGTCAAGGTATACCATATCCGCTCCTCTCCCCTTCTCCAAAGAGTCAGTCAGCTCGCAGGAGGCAAACAGGTTGGCTGGGCACTATTTACCCTGTTTAAATCTATGCTGGATGTTTTCAGCATGGTCTCTAATTGCTCCTGGGAGGATGTGTATCATAACTCTGTGCACTGTTAATGGCTTTGGATTGCATTTTCCTATCCATTTAAGATGCTTGCAGCCAGTGGTTTTTCTAATTATTTTGACATACAGTTATTCCCAGTCCCAGAAGCTCATCATGGAAGAATAAAGGAAGTTCCCTCAGCATGCAAGTGGATGCTGGTGGGAAAGGCATGGCTTGCACTACTTGCTGCCAGACCAAACCCAACTCTTTCTTTGGCCCTTGAGAATGAGCATCACTCAGTCCTGCATGCATCTACCCCTCTCCTTCTGTTGCTTTTCCACCCTCCCACCCCCAAAATTGTTTACCCTGGGGTCGGCTGGGATAGAGTTAATTTTCACAAGGAGCTGGAAGGGGCCCAGCCAGGACAGCTGACCCGAACTAGCCAAGGTGATATTTGATACCGTAGGATGTCATGCTCAGTATATAACTGGGGGAGCTGGCTGGGGGGAAGAGGGATCGCAGCTCGGGAACAGGCTGAGCATCGGGTTCCGGGTGGTGAGCAGTTCCATTGTGCATCACTCACTTTATACATTCTTTTATTAGTATTATTGTTATTATTACTTCTTCCCTCCTTGTGTTGCCCTGTTAAACTCTCCTTATCCCATGAGGTTTTACCTTTTTCTTCCAATTCTCCTCCCCATCCCACCTGGGGGGAAGGAGTGAGCGAGCAGCCACGTGGTGCTTAGTTGCTGGCTGGGCTTAAACCACAACATAGTTCAATTCTGGGTCTAGAAGGAATAGGAGCACCAAAATATACCAAACTCAGACTGCTGTTTCCCCGAGTGTCACTCTTCTCAAGCAGCAGAGAGGGCAAAGAATTTTGTGAAGCGCAAGCATGTATTTCATCCTGTTCCCTTCTCTGTTTCTCTAGCTACCTAAAATTAACATCAAACTTATCCAAACTTTGCTAACACACATGACAATATGAGTACATTGGAGTCCTGCTTTGTTTGCTAATAACACTTTTATTCAATTTCTGTTTGCTTATTTCTGTATGACTGAAAGCATCCATCTATTCTATGCATTTATATGAAAAATTAGCATTCAGAAAAAAATGACTATGCCACAGCATAATGTAAATATCAAGCAGCTTTGAAAAAATAAATCATGAAGCTAATACCCAAGGAAGTATTTTGCCTTTTGATTTCTTAAGAGAATGACATATTTTGCCAGAAATGTATTTTAAGATCTGCAAGGCAGCAAATTATCAATAACGAAACAAGGTATTCCTCCTAACTCAGAGAATAAGTAGATAGCAGACAAAAACATTAAGATTTTGGTAATATTCCCTTTGTAAAATCCAAACCATATTGCTTGTAAAGAAACTATATGACTGGTGTCTTACTGAATATTGTTTTAAAAATTCAGGGCTTTAGTCTGCAAATTCTTATTCATGTAAATCATTTCTGTACATTTGCATCTCTATGGATTTGCAGGGTACAGCTTCTCTGTGTCTTGTCTCCCTCAGGGTTGTCATGCAGGTGATGGTAAGGAAGTTACTCAGTAGAGATTACCGAGTCTAGTATCCGTGTTTCTTGTAATACTGGGCTCGCGCAACCACGTCGTTGGAGTAGTCATCGTGGGTGGTGCCGATGTCCATTCTGTCATAGCTTTGGACGTTCTTAGGACCAGCGTTGTAGGCAGAAATCCCACCTGAAACAAAACTCCAAAAGAACTCATACAGACTTAAAAAAACCAGGGAAAATTCCAGCCTGATGTGTTCAGCTTTTACTGTTTTGAAAGCTTTCACTTATCAGGACTTTGGAAGGGGAATAGGTGGCGTTATCAGATCTTCTTTGACTTAAATGGGGCTCTGCAAACAGCTTACATTTTTTCCTGAATCCACCAAAACATCTGAAAGATATTGAGGGTTTGTGTTCACAGATATTTGCAGCTTGAGGAACTTGTACCGTTTACCTGGCCCAGCACAAGGCCTTCATTTATACTGGGCTTGTTCAGAATAGAATAGAATGGGAGCATATCATATCATATCATATCATATCATATCATATCATATATCATGTCATATCATATCATATCATATCCAACATCATCCTTGTAACTTCTCACTCATTCTTGAAAACTACTGCTCTTAAAGGAGAGCTGAAACACACTAATACATTGCATTATCTTTGTCTTGCAGCTGTGTATATGCTACTCCATATGCTGTGTTGAAAAGCAGAGGTATCTGAGGTAGCTGTGAAACAAACCTGCTGTGGCACCCCAGCAGTCCAAGGGGGTTGCGGGGTGCAGCCTGCTTTGAAGTGGGCAGCTATTCGATGTTGCGCAGCACAATTTTGCAATTCCCTGAGAGCAAACAACTCATCTCCTTTGTCAACAGAGATATGGAGTGAACTGCTGGCCCCGTTCAAGTAAACCATGGAGCTATTTGTTAACATGAATGGCTGTAGGAGACTCCTCATGGTCAGATAAGTTAAAGCTCAGCTCTTATATAGACTAGGTTTCAGGTGTATAAATATTTGCCACATGGTGGTGAAAACTCAGCAAGACTGCCATACTAAGGAAAGGCAGAAACTACACAGAATTGACGAAGCTTGTCTTTTGCCGGTGAAATAAAAGAGGGGTGAAAAGCTAAACCACAGCCTGCTAGAAACGTAGTTTTTGAGAAACATGGGAACTAATTCAGTATGTTCTCATCCTAAAGTTTTTCTTCTCTCCTGGACAAAACCTGTGGCTTGTACCTTACCCTTCAGCTGTTGATCCTTTGTCCAGCGTGGGAACTTCTTCTGTATTGTCTTTATCATTGTGATAAGTATGTTTGTGCCCTGGGTAAGATGAGCTTCACTGTTCCATTGTCCCACAGGTCTATGTGAGTTTTTGTCAACCTAGAAATATCAAAACAACAAAAAGAAGTCATTTCCCTGCTGTAATGGATGATATGTTTAGGAGTCTTACTTTTATTTATATGCTATTTGTTTATCAGGTTTTAGTGGAGTATCAGCAAATACCTGCATTAAACCAAATCCATTTCCATTGTCACCCCAGCCATTCTTCAGTGCTTTGCCAGCATGAGATTCCCGGGAGATGATGCCAGCAATCAGGGCTGGTTCTATGCACAGTTTTTCACCAACTTTCTTAATGAGTGTTTTATATTGATCCATAGCTCTTAGGTCCCGTTCAGCGATCTTTTCTGAAGCTCTAACTCCTGTAATTAAAATAAAAAGTAAAGATAATTGCTTAATAACTTTTAAAACTCAGAATTGTCTTTCACCTCTCTCTTTCTAATACAGACAGAATTACACCAACGTTTTGTTTGCCTTGCCTCTGGGAGGAGGCAGATGATCGCCTACAGGGATATTATGCAGGCTCAGCAGCTAGTGTGTGTTCAGCGCTTTGGAAATGTGAAGGATTTGGCATTATTGTCCCATGGAGAAATGGAGCTGTCTGGCAGAAGAGGGATACTCACCAGAGTAGGGTAAACCCTCTGGCTTTGCAGTTTTCCTTGAAGCCCCAGGGGTTCTAATTCTGTTGACACTGCCGTAGCAATCCGTGCGGCCCTGGGAGGCACCTGCAGACGGGACACGGAAAGGCTTAAGCAGTAAAAACCTTTTGTGACTGCAAGTGAAACCCAAGGGGAGGCTGCACCCCGGAGAGGATGGGCTGTGGGGTGCAGGAGCCACACGGGACTGCCTCTGTCCCTCTTTGTGATGGAGAGGAGGGGAGGTCCTGCCCTGCGCCCAGCACCCTGCGCCCAGCACCCTGCGCCCACCCATCCCTCAGGGGCCACCCCTCCTTCTGCAAGACTCACGAGAGGACCCAAGCACTCTCTCTTTGGGTAGACTTTAACGGCAACCGAGATTTTTGGGGAGGGAGGTGAGGAAGTGCATCAATGTCTCCTGCTTCCCGGCCCCGGGGAGCATGTGCCCGGCTGCTTGGGGTGAGACAGCGAGGGGTGACAGACTTACCCAGGAGGGCAGCAAGGCCCAGCAGCACGAGCATTGTGTACGTGGAGTGGTTCTTCCTGAGCATGCCAAACAGCCTGAAAATCAATCAGTCAGCACTGGCATGCATGAAGGCACTGATATATCGCACTGCTTGCCAAATAAACACAAAGAAACTCTTTCTGAGCTGATGGGGTGTTTCTCTTGGTTGGGTAGGCAAAGCAATACACAAATGGGAGTTGTGTCTCTTTTTATAAGAGACTTCAATGGCAAGTCTCCTGCTCTGGCACAAACCAGGCTGCAGCCATTCAAAAGAGATTTGTGACCTCTCACTTCTGCTGGTGTTCCAAACCCGTCTCTTCTACAACACACTGGTAACTTCCTCCAAATCTCAAACCCCAATATTTAATTCAGAAAACAGAATTAGTAATGTTCAGTGCCCTGTGCTGCTGCACTCCCACCATGAATGCCCTTATTCCATATACAAACCACCTTCGCCATACCTGGACAGATTCACCTGAATCTCCTCAGACTTTCTTTGTACCCAGAAACCAACACTTTCAAGATGCAAGCTGTCTAAACCATTGTGGCGACCTACTTTAGGGTGAGTTGTACTCTGGGAACACCCATTTCCCCTCACGGGCTGTGAGGGGAGCCTAGGGAGATAGGCTCACGTGTGGATGAGAGCCATGTAAATTCAGGTGACCTAAATCCAGAACTACAGGACAAATATCAGTATCCTTATTCAAGCAGAAATCTCAGGCAGGAAAAAGCTGCAGCCTCTGGGATGCAAAGGAGGTGGTACTGCTGAAGGGAAGGAGAACTCCCGCCCTGAGCAGTGGTATCTTACCTACTTGTCCGCAGCTCAGCTTCTGGCATAGGACTGAGGTTTGGGGAAGTTTAATATATAGGGAAAGCAACCTTTCATTCAGTGGTAATATGACACTATGATGAAATTTACTGGGCTGTGGTTTTGTCAGACTTAACAGCACTTTTTTCTCATGTAAACAGAACCTGCAGCACTATAGACATTGGTGTGGTGGCAAGTATGTACTCAGGAGTGGCATTTCCCAGATTTCCAAAGAGAAGAAGAAACACCTGATTTTTCTCTGGGTGTCTCTCCATCTACATCTTATAGTTCACACCCTATTCCTGGCAGGAGCCATGGTGAGGGCTGAGCTAAAGACCCAGCATCCAGCTGTTGTGCAAGTGTTTGCCTCAGTCCCTTCCCAGCATCCCGGGCTGTGTCCCTACTGCTCAAGAAAAGATGGCTGGGACTGACCCTGGGCTGTTGACCACGTGGCACGGAGGGGCATGTAGCCCTACTGCCTGGGCTAGCACTCTCCTGAGAGACTGGCCATGTCCATGCTGGTGGCCCATCTCCCCCTGCTTGGGGGGGTGCTCCTGTAACAGCGTGCTCTGCCGATATTGCTTGTCAGCAAAAAAAAATAATGACACCTTGTTGTTTCAGCTTTTTTTTTTTTTTGTAATAGCTTTTAGCGAGTCCAACGCATCTCTGAAATGATTCAGACAACCTTTGCCTCAACATTTCTCTCTGCTGCGAAGGCAGGAGGTTTCTGGCATATGCCTGCCTGTGAGTAGAGGGACTGTAATGAGCTGGGTGTTTCCGAACACCGAAACTGCGTTTGCCACCTGGGGACAGACACCAGTGCTAAGGATACCGGTGTCATGTTAACGAGGGGTTATTTGCCTACAGCTGCCCAAGTCAGAGGGTCTTGGAGGCCCTTGCCTCCATCTACCAAGCTCCCTGCCTGCCATCGAGAGACCTCTCCTTCTGCTTCCCAGCCATGCTTCTGCACACTCACAACCCTTTCCCTGCCACCTCACATGCCAAAAATACCACAGGGGGGAAAAGTATTGCCCGCTGTGGGTGGGGGAGTCTGGCTGGTGTCTTTGTGTTGGGGCTGAAAGGAGACGTTTAGGATGACCTCCCTCCCCTTGGGACCAATGACCAAGTTCGTGATCGCCCTGGACTGAATTAAGGTGAAACGACACCAGCCAACTAGTTTAGCCATTTATTAATACAGAATGCAAGTCATGAGGGTAGATACAATAACTAAATGGCAACTACTTAACTAGACAACTCAACTACACAAACAAGTCCCATGCCACATGTATAAAGAGAGGAGGAGAGAGAGAAAGAGAGAGACAGAGACAGAAGATATCACCACCCGTGGATCCAGCGGCGTCCCGGTGGTCCTCTTGATTGTTGGTGTCTTGGTGGTGGGGGATCCCACCCCTAGCTCCTGATGGTACCATTTTATACAGTCTGAGTCCCAAAGTCTCCGCCCGGTTCCAAGAAGTACTCGAGGCAACGGCACGTTTGCCACAGAGACTTTGGTACCCACACAACGATCGTGTGGTGTCTCCAGTCCATTGCGCATGCGGATGTGTTTTTTAGGGGGCCGTCGGTTGTCGGGTGCCCCCATTAAGTGCCGTGACCACCAGACGACCTTTCATTGCGCCTGTGCCGTAATGTGTTGGCAGTTATTGCGCCAGGCTGTGGATTCTTGTGTGCAGGGCTCTGCCCTGTAAACGGGCATCTTGTGGTTTCTTCTGTGCCAAGAAATGTTCAAGACAAATATCTGTCCCCTACACTTTGGAGGCTGTAGTTAGTCTCCAAAAGGCGTGTAGGGGTCAGAAAGCAAAGCGGAGGAGGGCTGGTTGGGTACAGCTTTATTAGCAGTGGGTTCGACTTCTTCTGCTGATACCTTTCTTTGCAAGCCCTGTTTCCTTCAATGGTGTGGATGCACAGGATCTCATCCCACCTCTGTCAGCATCTTCACAAGATGGAGCCGCTGCACAAGGCTGGCTGTGATGAAAGAAGCGGCACGCTGCTCCCCCAGGTTTACCTTCATTATTTAATACCTGGGCAGATGAGTGCCTCATGGACCTGGCATATTTGCTGAAGAAGACTGATATTTTAACATTATCTCTTGGAAATCTCACAGAAGGAGATGCTGATAATGAATAGTGGAGTGGGAATTTCCCCCCACTTTTAGTTGGAGCAAGGCAAATAACGCTGAGTCCGTTATTAACTGGTTGCTGTGGTCACCGGATTAGCTGAACCTCTCTCTGCACCCTCTCTGTCTTCCCCGAGGACCCCCTCAGCCCCCATGATTTCACCTCTCCTACGGGGCTCGTGCTCCCATGGTGGGACTGCAGTGCTGGTTTTCCCAGCCGCTCTGCTCTCCTCTGCCCCTGCAATTTATTCTCCCTGGTAGTCCGCAGTCAGAGGAATGAGGTGGCCCAAAACAACCTTCTTAAAATGTTGCTTCTTTACCTCTAAAAGCAAAGCCCGGCTTTGCAGGGAGAAGGGATACAGATGCCAAAGTGCCACTTGATATGCTAGATGAGCTGTTTCAGTCCAAGCCCATTACGCCTAGGGTGTTGGCATCACTGTTTTGCTGATTCTCCCTTGCCCAGCCCTTGACTGACCTGTAAGCCACATTGGTGCTCCCAGAGCCAACGCAGGGAGCTCCTCTGTGTGACAAGCTGTGCAGCATCCGTGCGAGCATCCTTCATCGTCTCTCACCATGTGTGGTGAGAAAATTAAATCTATGTTTTCCATTCTTCCCTCTGGCTGCATCTTCACAGAACCACAGAAGCACAGAGTAACGGAGGCTGGAGAAGACCTCAGGAAGTCTCTAGTCCAACCCCTTGCTCAAAGCAGTACCAACGTTGAAGCTAGATTGGATTTCTCAGGGCCTCGCACTGCCAAATTTTGAACCTGCCTCTGAGGACAGAGATTCCCCAGCCTCTCTCTGCAACCTGGTACAGTGCTTAACCACCCAAGATTTTTTGTGAAAAACTTTTCTTTTATCAAGTCTAAATTTGCCTTGTTGTAACATGTGACTGTTGCCTCTTGCTGTGCACCTCTGAGAAAAGTATGACTCCACTTTCTCTATAAGCTCCACAGAGGTATCTGGAAACGTCTCCCAAAAGCCTTGTCTTCTCCAGGCTGAGCAGACCTAGTTCCCTCAGCCTCTGCTTGTATAACCTGTGCTCCAGCTTGGTCGCCTGCACTGGCCTACAGCATATCAGGGTCCGTTTTATACTGAGGAGCCCAAAATTCAGCACAAGTGCAAGTAGATGGGAGGGATCACTTCCTTGGACCTGCTGGTGATGCTTTTCCTAATGCAGCCTAGGAGGCTGTTGGTTGCCTTTGCTGTAAGAGTGCATTACCCACTTGTGGTCAACTTGCTGTCCACCAGGACTCCCACAGCTTTCTCCACAGAGCTGCTTTCAAACTGGCTGGTCTCCAGCATGTACTGGTGCTTGGGACTTTTCCGTGTCAGGTGCGGGTCTTGGCAGCGCCTGCAGTTGAATTTCATGAGATCCCTGTCCAGCCTGTCCACATTCCTCTGACTGGCAGCTTTGTCCCACCAAGCACCTGTGAACCGTTGGTGCTGGGGACACTAAACAGTACTAGCTGCAGGATCAGTCCCCAGGGGATCCCCCTAGTAGCTGGCCACCAGCAAGGCTTTGAACTGTTGGCCATCAACCTTTGGCCACAACAGCACAGCTAACTTTTCAGCCTCCATATAGAGCAATCTGACAGTCCTTCTACTGAAATAGCTTGGTTATGTGGTAAGTGCATGACATCTACCTATAGTACATATAGCAAGGGCCACAATGATTGAGTCAATAAATAGTATTCATGAACTATCAGTAGGCAGCTCTTCATTGATCACAGCAGTCACATGGGAGAGGCAATTCTGCTTTACCCAGAAGCCACACTGCAGGGCACTGCATCAGATTCAGTATCAGCTACTCTTTACTCTTCTCTGCTGTGTCTGGCAGGAGGGAAGGACAGCCTCCTGCAATTAAATGCTGAGGGCAGACATCTGTGGGATAATCTGGTCCCCTATATGGCCCTTGTGTCTCAGGCATGCAGCCACATCTTGTTAGAGATTGTCTCTGTTTCTAAGGAAAAGGTACAAAAAATATGCTGCCAGGATTTTTATTATTATGACAGGAATCTATATTCCTGATTTCTCTAACTGTGCACATATCCAAGCCCCTCCTGAACTTTGTCAGTTCCTTGATCTGCATCAGCTGAGGTGTGGCTTAATAGGCAGGGAATTCATAAATAAAACCTGATTTAAAGGACAGAAATGGGACCAATTTTCTCCTTGCCTGCCTTGCAACAAGAAACCGCTCCAGTTCTTGGAAATGAAGTGTTTCTGGAAGACCAAGGGCTGCAGCAGGGCAGTTTGTGGTGTGAAGGCACAAGAGTCTCGGGTCAACTGCATCCTCGCTGTGTGTTTTTTTTCATGCTCTTGAACATTTCTCCTCTATTGCTCATTAGATTAATAAGGGTAGGGTAAGAAATGAGTGATCCTAGTTATGCCTTCAGGGCAGACACTAGGCTGATAGAAGCTTCCCAAAGCAATCAAACCCATTTAAGCTGTGGGAGGTTACCCAGCCTTTGGCAGGGAGGCAGGATGCTCTGGGTGCTGGGAGCTCCTGCGCTGGGGGCAGGTCCCTCATCACAAGGCTGCACTGTGGCCTCGTGGGGAAATGCAGGGCCTTGTAGATGGTTGAGGCATGGGAAGAACTGGCAAAACTTCATGGAAGAGAGGAGCAGCCTAGAAGGGGTACGCTGCACCTGAGCTGTAAGACAGCCAGGCTGTGGCACTGGAAATTAAAGAGCTTGCAGAGTATTTCCACTAGAAGCAGGGGAAGCTGAGACATGCAGAGGACTGACATGTTCTACAAGGTGGACATGGCTGACATTCAGTTTACCTCTGAAAAAAAAAGGAGGGAAACAAGCACCACGATCACAATAAATGAGAAAGACAAAATAGAATAATACAGTGGCAAGGGTTTGGCACATGCAATATTAAGCAATG